TCTCCACGACTCGTTGTGTTTGGTGCCGAGTCGACGGTTGATTCGAGCGGGCGTCGTCCAGAGCATACATTTGCACCTCGAACTCTGATCGAGGCATGTCGTCCGCGTTCGTAACCCTGCCGTGGCTCCGTGCTTGGACCTGAATTATCAGGCCAGGATGTGGAGACGCGTCCATGATGCGGCGTGATCCGCGCGAGGGTGCACTGCGCGGCGTGATATATGCGGTCGGTCGCACCCCCGTGTGGTCGACGAACACCACCCGTTGCCGTAATCGACGAGTGGGTCATGGTGTAGTGTTACAAGATTCCTGGAGCTCGTACAAGCGCAAAAATGATACACGCGCCGCCGCCCGACGGCGACGAGATGTTGCTTCCTTGGACATTCGACATAGTCTTCCGTGCTCGTAACCTCTGGACGCAGGAGAGCCCATGACGTTTTCACAAGAGGGTGGCACAGCTACTTGTGCCGAGCCTTCCAATCCATAGCCTGGCACACCACCGAGCAGTATTAGGCAGTATTGCACCGCGAGCACTTGAGGACGGCCACTGGCATGTGCGTGACAACATCGACGTGCCGCTTTCGCTTGCCGCATTCGAGGCAAAGGCAACGCTCGGAGAGACCGTACTTTGTGTACACCTACGAGGCTTGAGCCCCGAGACCAAGATTCACAATTGCATACGGTGCACGTACAGCCTCCATGCGCTCGGTAGCATCTGTCTTCCGATTAGAAGGCTGCACTTCCCACAGGTAGGTGACTTGAGGTGCCGGCTTCGATTCGAGGAACTCCTCCGCGATCGCGACGGCCGCTGCTCGCGACCACAGCCTACGCCGGCAACACGTCCTTCCGCTTGATATCGGCCAGCGCTACTTTCGATGTACTCTGGCGCTGCGATAGATTTGGCATCCAAGACGATGGAATCCGTGAGCCCCACAAGACACGTCATGGCGGGAGTTTCGGCTCGACCAGCCAAGTGCATTCCAAACTGCACGAGCTCCTTCGACACTTGTACGTCAAAGAGCAGGCCATCATCGCCGAACGATGCCGCGCCCGGTGTGAAAACGACCCGGCATGCTGAGGCGACATAGCCGAAAATTAGTCGCATTGGATTATCCGAGAAAAGTCGGTGCGGCCGCAAGACATCTTGTACGCGGCGAGGATACTCGCCAACGGCAGGTTTGAGATGGGCGGCAGTCCTACCTGTCCTTTCATGAATAGGGCCGATTTATTCGAACGCAGTCCATCGGCTTGTGTCCCATTCGACGGTGGTGAGTTCAGTCTGGCTGGTGCATGGTTGACGCTCCACCGATGCAAGTCCACGGTACGCAGCCGAGCAGCAATTCCTGCTGCTGGGTCGACTCGTCCAGGTACGACGTAGCAACGTCCAAACCCACGCATTTGGTGTAGTCCACTTTGTGAGTGTCGAGGTAATCTGCGTCGTCGTAGTACACATACACTAGGTTCATCTGTTATAAGGTCGGTGACAGCGTGTCGTCGGCGAGCCAGCCCCGAGCCCGCAGCGCCGCCAGGACAAGTTGAGTTGTCTCCGCCGACAAGCGCGAGTCATGCATCTGAGAGGACTTGTCGAGCTGGTTGGCTAGAAAACGAATCTGGGCGGTCGTTGCGGTGGCGAAAGGACGATTCCATCGCGATGCCACTGGCCGATACCTTGCGTCTCTGGCCAATCACGCGCTGCGAAGAAGTTATTGCCCAATTGGAAGTCTCCGATTTTCGCCATCAAGATTGGCACGACCGTTGCTCCTGGTGGACAGGAGTGGCCACGACCGGGCCTCAATGGAGAGCCCTCAACTCGCTGCGCCGCCAGGGCAACTTAAGTTGCCTCCGCCCTCAAGCGTGAAGCATGGATCAGAGAGGACATGCCAAGCTGGCTGGGGACGATCGTACAAGGTTGTGTTTTGCCACAGATTAATTCATAGCTGAGGGATTCTCTCTTTTGTATGGCTTGATGCCACCCACAGATGGTGATGACACCACACCCGTCGCATAGACTTTGCCCCTGTGTCATCAAATCAGTCCTGACTCCGTCGTTGTTTTGAGCGTCAATGCAGCGCTTCCCAAGCCAACGTAGCCCCTGAACCGACGACACCACCAGCTAAACAATACATACATCCTCTAAATCTGCTTTTTGTGTGCACACAGATAACTCAATATGGTGACTTGTGGTGTCTCCGACGATGACCAGTGCATTACGAACACTACCCCACCAAGCTTGTGCAGTGTGCAGCTCTATATTCCCCGGTCTTGCCTCCGATCTAGTCGATTCGCCATGGCCACTTCCAGGAGCAAACTCAAGAATTCTTGGCGAGGTTTGCCCAGCGGGAGCTTGCAAAAGTCTTCGTACGCCACCTACACATGCAAACCGCACAATCGGTGAGCGTCGCACCCGCGAACGCACCAGACACGGAATTCCACCCATACCTGAATGACCGTCCACCCCGCGCGTTGGATGTGCCGCATCTTGAGCATGGAGGCCCCCAGCAAGTACCTACGCGGCACCACGCGTCAGGCCAGGAAAAGTGGGGATGATGCAAGCGATGGGGACGTACTGCTCGGACGGATTCCTTCGTAGCTGGTAATGGCTCGGTCCGTTGACCTCGATTCCAATGCGCTCTTCGATCAGCGCAATGTCGAGCGAGTACCTGTCCACACGGACTCAATCAGATCAGCAGACAGCACGACTCGTGGATGAGCTAGACGTACCCATATTCCATCACATATTCGTTCGTGTGCGGCACACTCATCTGAAGCAGGGTGGTGGATACGACTTCGTGCAATGTCGACGACACGTTGCCATGTTGCTAGCACAGTTCGCATGAGCTGGCGGCGACTTCCAGGGTCGGAGGTAATTCACATAGCGCAGACATTGCGTGGACCACAAAGGGCGATGTGCAATCACCCACCTGCCGAACCAGCGCTTGCTTGAACTCGCCAACGCGGGATGGTGCCAGAGTGTCTACGAAGGACAGCTTCCGTTAAGCTACCTTCTTCCACAATGGATGGCTGTGACTCCAATGCCGTACGACCCCAGCAGCCACTCTCGTCATGAACACTATCACGTCATACGTTGGCAAGGCAGGTTGGCTAGTTGTGAGTCCAAATGAATTTGGTACGCTTGCGTGGAAAAAGCAACCCCTGGGACGGGGTGTGCATTGGCGGCTTTCAGGACAGCGTCAATGAGCTCGGGGTGGTGCACCTACACGGTTGGAGCGGCGGGTGCTACACCGGCGAACACCCTACCTTGGCGACCGTGCATGCCCATGCCGCCATGGACAGGAGCTCAGGGGTTGAGTCTTGAGTGAGCAAATACGAGCAGATGCGTTGAAACGTTGGTTCCATCCAAGCCTTGGAGCAGTCGTTCTAACACGCGCATCCATCAGTCCGCTGATCGTGCAGTCCGTGTATTCGCGCGAGTGTGCCAAGTGCTGGAGTTCCTCGTCGACGCTTTTCACCGCTGCAAAACGTGTGCGCTTCTCAAACGACTGATGCAAATACGTACCGGCGTGCTAAGAATGGCAAACCCGTGCAAAAAGTGAACCAACTTGTCGACCGAGAACCGGTCTTGGGGCAGGCGGTGCGTGACTTGGGCGGCCAAGTTTCTGTGTGTTCAAAGTGTTTCAAATAAAATGGCACGACGTTGCTGCGCAAGCGACTAGAAATTGCTCCAACGTGGCCAAAAAACGACACGTACTCCATGAGTGTCGACGGGGCCAAGTGCAACACGAGCAACGACTTGAGCAAGTAGTACAAGTACCGCGACGGCACACAATGGATGTGCATTTGGCATTGTCGCTCCAATTCTGCCACCAGGTTCCAAAACCTACCATGACGACGGTCGGTCAAGCTTTGGGCACACCGCGAGTAGCTCGATGCTGGCCGGTACCGCGCTGAGTAGATCAAGTTGAGGTCGTGGTGGTGGCGCTGCAGTTGAACTTTGTACATGTCGAGCCGTGCCGAGTCTTCTTCGTCGACTTGGATGACGTGCGGAACCCGTTGCCGTTTCTATGATAAGAGGTTAAGTAACAACCCTCGTCACGACCACCATCTCCAGCAATGCAGTGTCGAGCCCAACAACGATGGAAAAACCTGCCTGCAGCAACGAAATATCCCATTCAGCAACAAAGTTGGGGCCCCAAGCAACGTACCAACTGCGCAATGTCGTGCAGTGTGCGCTGGTGAAACATGGCAAACCGCTGAAATGCCGTCAGGATGTTCACATGGTTCAAATTGCTCTAACTCGAGAACGGCGCCATAAGAATTGTATCGGAGGTGCCCCAGCAACGATTTCGATCGAAACAGAAGAACCCATGCATGAAATTTCGTTGTACCTCGCTCTCGACAAGTTGAAGGATATCAACAGCAGATTGAGCCAAGAGTATACGAGTGTTAAATTCTTTGTGATCGATGGGTTGAGCGTCTGCCGTCAACGTTGTTGTCGGGGGTGGCGTCGCCTTCGTACCCTAGAAACCATTACCACGCAGGTTGAATCAACCCCCAATTCGTGCAGTCGGAGCAACGAAGATTCTAAACCTGTCGGATTTTCAACACGCTCTTCAACGAGGGTGAAGCAGCCACTTGCGCCATCAAATCGGACCAACTGACGAGACATGAGCGCGATGCAATGAGTGTAGTACGCACGAGGAAAACCGAAAGATGTCGGAGGGAACGCCGGAGATGGACACGATGGGACTGAACCCCAACGGCAGCTTCAGCGACACATGCTTGGCCGAAAAGAGCGTGGCTTGTTGGCTGATAAAGGGATTGACGTCGAGTTGGCGAAGCTCCGCCTACGTACCCGCGAACTGTTGCACGGGTGGCCACACCCGAGTCGCACTTGGTACAGTTCAGCTTGGCGTGCTTCCACGACTGGACGGACGCCAGGGGGTGTTCCGTCGTCTTGAGGCTTTCTAGTGCGGCGTTTTGGAAGCTTGCAACGTGAACGCCGCGTTGCCTGCCCGAGTCCAAGAAGTCCCTCAGACTGTGGTCCACCGAACGGTGGGAACGAACGTACCAGTGGAGAAAGAACAGGTCGGACGAGTCGACTAGGTGGTTTTCACACTTGGCACACACTGGTTTTGCAACATTCTAGAATAAGGAGAGCGATGAGACCACCGACGTACCGAGCTTGGCTTGACGCTCGGAAGGCGTATCCAGCAAGGTTCGTCTTCTGGTGGTGCTTGCCGCCCGCCGCCCGCCATGTCGGAGCAGCATGTTGGGATTCGTAATGGCCAATCAAAACAAAGTTCCATCCTGCGGTCGTTTGATTGGATGTTTGAAACAGTTTTCTTAAAGTAGTTTCATATGATTTCGAAAACATTTCAAACACGATTCAATTGGAATCGAAACGATTCTGTCCTCCATCCTCAAGATTGTTTTGATTCAAATGAAGTATTGCTGTCCGCAACCATACATTATGTTCAACATGCTCAAATATCAGGACACAAGTCCAATATATTGTGAACAACAGCGATTGAAAGAAAATTCGGCCACAATATTGTACAGACAACGGAAAAATGTCCCCAGTAGCTACAGTGCTGGACATAAAGGTTTGGTACACTTGAATTTGAGAGGTACGTCCCAAGACATTGTCGCCACCAGTATCCGTGCTGTGCTACATTGATCCTAGATG